AAAAAAAAAAACGATATGTTACTTTAGGTAATAAGCTAACCGCTAAGCATTGAAACAGAAATTTAGGACAACATATGGGGAAAAAGTAAAATGATTGTAACTGGATGGACATGGATCCAAGAGGCTTAATTTAGATATTAAGTTTAATTACTAAATGATAAGAAGAGGACGGTGCCAAATTTGTATGAAACTTTTCGCTTTGATTTCTGAACATACACCGCGAAACATACCTATTTTGGAGCAATTGATACCGGGACTAGACGGATTCAAATCGACATAGCCATCTGCACACCGACATACGAATCCATCTCTTGTACCGATGCACTTCGACGTTTTCGGGTTACATCCAGAGAAATTCGGCGAATCACACGTATTCGTCACTTAAAACATACTTCTGGTTATTTACAAGTTTAATGAATGCAAAGAAAAAAGTTTTCATGTTTCAGGCAATCGCAACCAGTTTATTAAGCTGATATCACAGACAGATAAGTGATGTGATACGATACATTTATTCATCAGACAGGTCATGCATTCTTATTAGACTGAAACATAACTGTTTAGTTACCTTATTTCAATTATTTTTGTTTCTTTTTTCTTTTTTTTAGCTTTTTCATATACATAAATTGCACTTATCACTTCCAACTTATTTTTCAATAATCTATTTTCATTACATCTATTTTCTTCCAAACATTTTAAATTATTTTAAATCATCATGCATAAATGGAATGAGCAGCTTTCGAGGTTGTGTGTAAAAAATTTTATCAGTATTTTAACAGTAACAGTAAAAGATTGTAACAGATTTTAACAGTATTTTAAAAGTATATTCATTACATTATCAGTGATTTCCTTTATTACATTGTTATTCACTGAGCGAAAAAAAAAGAATTTCTTTTACTTTTTCAAAAAAAAAAAAAACCGGAGCCACACTCTTCCTCATCAAAACTTTCCTCTCTCCCTCACCCATTTGACTACCCTCACTGAAAAACCTGAATATGCCATCAGTCGATGTGCGGTAAAACCACGTATTTTCATTGTTAAAAATAATAAAAGATAAATCCGGTTCATTTTTGACATACGTCCAAAGCATAAAGGAAATGATTATTTTTGTTGTGATCGTAACAACGATTACTGAGACGATTAGATAATGATAATCGTTGTAATAGCAATGTTGTTCAATTGGTAATCGATTCCTTGTAAAGCATACGCAGCTGAGAAAGGTAAAACGGGGATCAATGCTAATTCTACGGAATTATAATTACTCACATTTGGAGCACTTGCGACCCGGCCTGTTTATCGGATCCGGTGAAATATCACTGAAACCATGCCGACATTTGCATGTGAAGCCGTGCGTCATATCCATACAATCGGCTTGCGGATCGCAGTTGGCTTGACCCAACTGGCATTCATCCACAACTAAAATTTAGAAAAAATTTGCCTAATAAATTAGTCTTTTATCATAAAAGCCGTATCAATAGCGCTGTACAAGAAAAAATATGAACGCTATAAAATCATAAAAAAGGGATTAATTTTATGAAAACTAAGAAAACTACAAAAAATTATGAAAATTATAGTGAAATCAAAAAGGTGGAATTTCACGAAAAATATGAACTTAAAAAAAGTATGAGAAAAACTGTATCGTAAAAAAGCTACATTTTACAAAAACCATAGAAACCACAAAATCATGAAAAAAGAAGTTAAATTTAAGAGTGGTGTGATACCCGCAATAATTTTCGGGGCCAGAAATTCATGTAAAAGGCAAATTTAATAATGAAAACGGCCAAATTTTCAGGAACATGGCAAAAATGGAACTTTTTGGCGGACGGCAAAATTTGGGAATGCTCATAACTGTTCTTAAATTTAGGAGTGCTCCCAATTTCACACTTCACGCGTGACTGTCATATGGACCGCAAAAGAATAATATTCCGGTCAGCCGTCATTATCAAGGTTAAAATGACGGCGGAAACCAGCGGCGATTGTAATCTGAGGTGATATATGATCAGCAAATCAATTGTGGTTGCCGACCAGATTACCTTCAGAAAATATGCACCGGCATTGCTTAGCGTAAGACAAGCAAACAATATAACTTCTTTTTTATATCATTTAGACGAAAAAAGGGTCAAAATTGCCAAAAAGCCAACTACTGGTCAAAGCACTTGGAAAAGTCGCCAGCTGCATGGCTGGAGAACCAGACTATGAATTAGAGTTAACTCAAATATTCAAGCATATTTTATTTCAGTTGTTCTGACCGATTATCGTTTCATCGTAGCACATCTTTAGGTTATCATGCAATTGTCCATGAAGTTAGAAGTAAGGATCGAATAATAATAATAATAATAATAATAATAATAATAATAATAATAATAATGATGATAATAATAATAAT